CCAGTCAGTGTCAAATATAAATTTTGGAAGGTGTGCAACCCTGACCTCGAAGTGATCAGTGTTTTTGCAGCACGAAGTTACGGAACGAACTTCCAGTTGCTGTTCACAAGTGAATGATAAACTTCGCATAAGAACATGTTCAGTTCAAAGGGAGGAATGTTTTTAACTGGGCGTTGCTTATTCAATTTATCGGAAAGGAAGGATTACACAACTTTCATGTTCAGCGTAGTTCATTTAAATGTGTTGACATGTTCATTGTCCTCCAAGAATTTGTCAATATCACTGTCGTTGACCTCTACAAACCGTTTGGCTTGTTTAGGAACGTCCGGGGTGTCCATCTAGGAAATGGCAAGTCCCTAAACCATCCACCATCCACCATCTAGGCCAATATTTAGGTTAGGTGGTATAACGAACCGATCTCTTTTGTTTGTTTGTTTGTTGTTTAACGCCGCACTCAACAATATTCATGCTATATGACGGCGGTCTGGAAATAATCGAGTCTGACCACCCAATCCCGTTAGTCGCCTATTACGACAGAATAGTCGCCTTTTACTGCAAGCATTGGTTGCTGAAGGCCTATTCTACCCCGGATCTTCACGAGTCCATTTTGAAAATAAAAACGTTGAAATTATTCGGTGGTTGTGTAATGTTTACAACTCTTCCAACCACATTTCCATCGATCTTGACTAGATAACGGAGATAGGATTGTCGCCTCAAAGGGAGGTTACAGGAAGTGTGCTAACCGCATCTCCCTTCCCGTATTGGTAGTCTACCTAAACACAATGCTGATATCTCATGTAATATAAAAGGCGGTGGGGGAGTCTCGTGGTTATAGTGTTGGCTCGCCGCGCCGAAGACCCGGGTTTGAAGCCCGCCTTGATATTGCTGGAATAGTGCTAACAACCACGTTCAACCACACTCATTCAAACACTCATTAAGTATTAAACGTCAACGGCACAGAATAATCAGTCTTGATTACCTGCCAAAACAGATCCCATGCGCGTAAAAGTCAAAATAGCGGTGAAAATGAGTCATGACACCAGGTGTTCGCGAAAAGGATATCAAGCATGTCCCGCTGTTTCGGTAGGACCCGCCACTTACACAATTTGCATAAAAAAAGTAATCTTTTTGTTTTCCAACGCCGCACAGCAGGACTCCTGCCGCACCACGGCGGTCTAAACACAATCGATTCTTGACCAGACAATCAAGTGATAGACCACACAATCCAGTTACACGATAGCGCGTTCACTGATTTTGTTGAAACAAAAACCAATGTCCATGTTAGAATGCCACATCATGTCCCTCGGTACAGAAACGTATATCGTGACAGCGACATTATCAGAAGGCCCGTGAGCTGTGGTGGAGATACACGATACTGATGAGTGGTCTCGAGTGTACGGGAAATCTCTGCCTAATACTGCCATGATCGACATCTGGCATCAGTAACGTCAGCAGCAACAGCCGTGTAGGCTACAACTCCCACTCGACGTCTGGTTTTCATCATGTCCGTGATTGGTATGCGAGTGATCGATGGCGTGGTATTAGTGGTGTGTGTGATAAACACAACCAAGCAAGTGAATTGGGATTTCGCGGCGTTGTCGGCAAGCATACAGCTCCATTACAAAGGCATGTTACTCGCACTATCGACCTCTGGTTTGACAGGTCCAAACCAGAGGTCGATAGTGCGAGTAACATGAAGGACACAATCACGGAACAATAATTTCAAGATAGTTTGATATTTTGTATGTATACTTACCATTCATTGTTGCAAATTCTAGACGACTTTTGCGACGAGGACGTTACGGAAAAAGTTATCGGAATCATTAAAAAACACTAGTTGATATCGTATACGGACTTGATTTTGATCAGTTTGTTTGCCTGTTGTTTAACGCCGCACTCGGCAATATTCCAGCTATATGACAGCGGTCTGTAAATAATCGATCGAGTCTGGGCAAGACAATCCACTGATTGACATCATGAGCATCGATTTACGCAATTGAGTTGACATGCATCAACCAAGTCAGCGTGTCTGACCACCCGATCCCGTTAGTCGCCTTTTACAACAAGCATAGTCGCCTTTTACGGTAAATATGGATTGCCGAAGACGAACCATGATCTTACGTGGCACCGACATGGGCTTCCAGTAGCGGTTAGCTAGGTTTTATGTGCACTCTTGCCTTTGAATTGGTATGCTCCATAGTGCATTTTGTTGGACAGGGTCATGTTAGCCCAGGATCCTGGACACCCATAACCACGATATGCTCCCTTAGACCTTCGAGGATCCGATGGTCGTTTGGTCGAATCCAGGATTAGCTTCCAGCAGGATCCTTGGTATGTCAGCGCCATGCCGTTCATGTTGGCTTAATCTATATCGTAAATAACCACGGGTGGTTTATACTCAATGTGAATGCTTTAATAAACTGAAATAATACTCAAGCAGTTTTAATCTACATGATCGTGACTTGCCATTTGGAATCTTTAACATGATATATATAACAAAGTTATGATAGCCTCATGCTATGTCACCAAACCATACATGTATGTTCTCGGCCGCATGTAATTGTACACGCTGCCAGATCTAAGTACCGCCTCCGAGGTCTGGTGGTATAGCGTCAGCTCGAAGAACTGCAGGTCGATGGTTCGATCCCCGATGGTTCATACAATAATACGTTGAAAGGTGGTACTTGTTGTTCCCCTGCCCTGTGCTCGGAATAAAGGGGCTAAGACAAGGACTGGTGGGTTCGGAGTCAGTATACTGTGTCTGAGTGGGGTATCCATGTTAAACCCCGGCAGGGTAATCACACACGCACACACAAACAACACACAGACACGCTCACATCGCTATAAACGTTTAGTATTCTTGAAAGAGACGCTAAACCCCATTTCACCTCCAGATCTTAGGAATTCAACACATGTCATCCAGTTTCCAATCACTGTTTCTCTCAGAGAAATACATGAAATAACAATAGCGCAGATCAAAACGCGATCTGTGTTAATCTAAAACGTGGTTTTTTTTTTCATCTAAACCCTTTTCATTATTTTCCGATTCTCAAAAAACTAAATATTACTGTAACAGACAGACATCATCTGGAACATTACACCTGAAGTTGTTATAAGCATATGCTTTCAGTTTCTCTTCAGAACATTAATTATTTTCAACCCACGTAGACTGAGTAAGTTACCTAGTTGGGTAAATATGACCATCACTCAAAGAGCGATAAATCTTTTTTGAAATGATAAAACCGTCGGTCCAACTGTCACTCCGTTCGCCCAGGCTCAGCTTTGTTTGCGTACAGAACACAAACTGACACGATAGAAGGTAATAGTCAAAAACGCAATAAAAACGTGTATAGCATCCCAGCCGTTTTAACGTCAAAAAACAACGGGATTTATGTTTGTGTGGGAATTTGAAAGTGTTCATCGTTTCAGAGATTGAAAATTGGTTTGATTTTTTTTAAAAATACTGTATCGTACAATATTGTACTTGGTACATGTTTGAGCACCTCAGTTTGTGCACACATATATATTGTCTCTTGCGGCTGAGAATCTTATCTTACTGATCACAATACAAAAACAACACAGAAACAACAGCGGAACACCCCTACCTTTTTTCAAACCATGTTGCGTCCATTCGGCACGCCAGAAACCTGTGATTGTGGGTTCGAATCCCGGTTCGCCCCGATTATGTTTCTAGGTTTGTCAGCACATGTACCCCTGCTCGTGGGTTTCAATGAAGTGGTAAACGTCTGAGACCTGCATCACTTCGGGCTTTCCTCCCACTTTTAGCTGACACGCCGCAATATAACTGGAATACTGTTAAAAGTGGCGTTGTACCCATATGGATTTGAATGATTTCAAGATCTTTTATGTCAATTATTTGTGCGCGTGCTTGCGTGCGTGTTTCATCATGCATGCAGTCACTAGAATCTTTTACTATATTGCAGGAGACAACGATTATAATGACCGAAGATGGACCACTACTTTTACTTCGTTATAACCGTAGTTCGTTATAATCATATACATGTATACACCATATAAACAGCACATGGCCGGGGAAAAACAACAGTTCGTTATATCGTCAGTTCGTTATAAGTGTGTTCGATATACTGTAGTCAAGTGAGTTTGTTCGAAATATGCGTGTGATCACCCAGCAGTGACTGGGTATCCGGTAGGATGATCGTAATATGACTATTACCCTTCTTGCAACCGACATGTTGCTTTCATTGTATACTCCACATGGAGCTGAGAATGAAAACCGAGAGCACATTGATCCATTGACTGGGATAATAGTGGTCCGCGTTGAGCATAATATCTGGCATGGAAAAAGTGCAAGAGAAATGGATTATAATTATGATTTTTATTTCAATAAGGTTTACCCTTTCTTTTCACTGTAAAACGAAACCTATATTTTAGGATATGGCAACTGATATATCATTGTGTGGTCGGAAAGACGGTCAAGGCTGCATAAGGTTAATCGTATAAAAATGTAACAGTAACACGACTTCATGTGATATTTTTTTAAAATATGAGTGAGTGAGAGTTGCTTAGCATACCCACCACGACTGTGGCCCTTGCGTGATCGAGTTTGGAACAGATATACCTAAAGTTGATAGAGCAGAGGGACATCTGGACACGTTCACACCATCAACTGGGTCACACACCATAGTCACCCGATCCCATGAAATGGTTCTTATGACAAACATCTGGTAATGGCTGCCTGTTCTGACCCGGAACCCCGGTCGGGGAGAATAAACAAAACACAAATATTTAGTTTAATATCACCTCAGTGGCACAACGCTTTAATACGCACTTCTTAACGTATTTTGTAATTCATTTTAAACCATTAAAACGGAATTAGTGGTAGCGCCTCAGAGTCAGCATTTATGGTCTCCCGTTAGAATTGGAGTTGACAGATCAAGTAGATTGCATAACACGCAAGACAAGAATGTTCTTGAAAATCGCCGTTCCTGGTAATCTTATCAATAATGTTAAGGTATACATGTTAGGTCACAGATGGCCATTCCCACTGAATGGTCTAATATAACTAAACGGTCATTTAATCAGTCATTACCTGATACCACCATGAAAGTCACAATCGTCTTTCTAGCTGTTCTCGGAGTTGCTCTGGTGAGTTGAGTAATGATTAAATTTATAGCTGCTAAGTCCAATGAGACACCGTTTTTTGATAGGCGCAGTTCAATAATTGCCAGATATGTGATTGTACATACTATATCACTATTCAAAGAACTATGCTCTGCACTTTTGCATCGAACAGTTCGTTTTATGTAACTGGGCTGAACTCCATTTTGGGGTTTTAAAGGAACGCATAGATGTAATATACGCCACATCTTATACTATTCCACTGTAGCTTTACGAACATATGTGGATACCGTGAATGGCGGTTTAAAGTTTTCGGGCGCAGGTTCCGCATTCGCCCAGAAGATGCATGCAAGAATTCTTGTACCTTTATTCGATCATTTTGCTTGTCAGTACCCCGAACCCATGAGCTTCATACATAATACAACGCCCTACTTGTCTTCAGCAACCCATGCTTGTCTAAAGAGGCGACTAACGGGATCGGGTGGTCAGGCTCGCTGACTTGGTTGATTTATGTCATCGTATACAAAATGCGTGGATCGATGATCATGAGGTAAATCACTGTATTGCCTGGACAGCTGAAATATTGAGTGCGGCGTTAAAGAACAAACAAACAAACAAACAAACAAACAAACAAACACAAACTAACTGCAGTTTTTCCCAGCACTATAGGGGTAGTATTTCCTTCCATGATATACAGTTTTGCGTCTCATAATATGTCTACCCATGAAGATCCGGTGTAGTTTTCTTCCATGAAAACCGTAAAAGGCGACTATTCTTGTCGTAAGAGGCGACATACGGGATCGGGTGGTCAGGCACGCTAACTTGGTAATTGTATCCCAATTGCGTGGATCGTAGCTCATGATGTCAATCACTGGATTGTCTGGTCGACTCGATTATTTACAGACCACAGCCATATGGCTGGAATATTGCTGAGTGCGGCGTTAAAGAATAAACAAATCATAATGTGTCAAGTGTATATTTTAAAAGAATGACATAACTGATTATCCCTATGGGTTGGGCAGAGTATAACTGAAAGCAGCACAATGTAATAACAATTGAAGGCCTTGCTTTGGCTGTACAGTTAAGCCATCACCATCTATCTCCTCTTCATGCTGAATATATCTAAGAGTAATGTTTTATCACCCCAGGCCCAGGATCCGCCGACCACTGTGCAGACAGTCGTCGTCACCGGTGGAGTTGCCGCCGGGGGGGCATGCACCAAGACCACTGACTGCGGCGAGGGGTACTGTTGCGTTACTAAATTCATAGGCAAGAAGAAGCGCTTCATCTTCAACGATCTTTTTGGCAGCCACAACAGCGGCAAGTGCGAGCCTGAGCGCAAGGAGAATGATTCTTGCCACGTGTTCATGGACCACGACATCTTTAACCCCAACCTGTTTGAAGACTACTGCCCATGCATGACTGGCCTGGAGTGCCGGGGCGAGACAGTGGACGAGACCGGAGGTGCCATCACTCATCACAACCCCAAGTGTCAACCAAAGTCTGGAAGTTCTAGCAACTAATCTTCATAATATATTAACCGAGATTACCGGAGGTAACCCGACGTTATCCGAGATATTACCCAAAATTATCCGTTGCTTTGTACTGTAATAAACAAGTCAAGAAGTTGTACACTATATTTTGTGAATGATATGATAATTGCTGACTGACATTCCTTGTATTGATGCACGTTGTATTCCACATTTGTGCCATGACATGACACCAATATCAGCAATAGTAGCCTAAAAAAAGGCACGGCTGGTACACACAGGGATCTTGATCTCTTACGCAACAGACGCAATTTCAGAATACACATATCGTTTTAGTTTCAACCAAATCAATTGTTCAGAGTCGTATGACAGGAGTGTTTGGCGAACACCTGGTGTTATCACTGATTTTCAGTGATCAAGTTTTTATCTTGCGCTCCTGAAACTTGTACACAGGTTTTTTGATGAAACGAGATTTTACGCGATACGTACAGGAAGAGCTCACATACCATTACCATTGGAATTAGATATTAGAGAAACATCCTTTTACTTTATGGTCATTGCGTCAGGATGAATTAGCTTATCATAACGTACCGGATGACGATTTGAAAGGTGTGAGTGTTACATATATTTCAGTTCCAAATTTACAAAATCTCGACATCCTCTGTATATATGTTAGCTTCATAGGAAGCTGATATAACATGAAGAAAACAGTACCACAGTGGCTAAGTAATAAGCTGAACAATATCATCAACGTTGTCAGGAAAGTACAAGACACGCGACAGTGTTGAACGCAGGATACTAGTATTGGCTGTTCTTGCCACAAATGATAGAAACAAACATTTGTACAGTTTAAAGGATGATGTGTAATACGTACGTTTCTGGTAGAAAGCCCTAAAATGAGAGAGGGTGTGAGTGAGTTGGGTTTTACGCCGCTTATAACAGTATTTCAGTTATATCATGGCGTGTCATTTTAATGAGCGAGGAAAGCCCCAAGTGATGCAGGACGTTTACCACTTTGCTAACACCCCAGAGTATGGGTATGGGACTGACAAACCTAGAAACATAAGCGGGATGAAACAGTATTCGAACCAACAACCACAGTTTTCTGGTGTGCCTAAGGGACGCAACTCTTCACAGCGAGTCGCAGCACCTTAGACGACTGGGCCACCCCTGCCCCGGTATGAGAGAGATGTGAGTGATGGATTAAAGAGGTCACTTTCTAAAGTAGTATCATTTATCTAGCAAATTGTACATCACTGAGATCATATTCAAAACATTTCAGATTTATTAACTCAGCGGTTCAGAGAATGTGCAAATATAAAAGCAAAGTAATGTTATGGCAAGGTCCTTCGCATGTGCATATTCCAATAATTAGAGGATATTGTCTTTACTTGTCAAATAACATGTTTACATGTATCTCAGTGGCAGAAGAAAAAGACACATATTCTGGTTATTATATATTGTCTTTCGGATTTTTGTATATCTTACCCAGAAAACCACAGTGTCATCGGGGAGGAAGGACAGTAATTTTCGATTCATATATTTGGAGATAACTATATTATTTCATCACTAAAACAAAATAAATGCAGTTATTCTACATGGATGTATGTACAAGTCAAATGTCATGGCAGGACAAAGCAATATGCCCCATATTATCATTTATTACTTGCCCGTGAAGAGATCACCCGTTTAATAAACATACAGCTTTATTACACATTGTGTAATACCAAAACGCGTGCTTATGTACTCTCGGAACACGTTTCACGTACAAATATTGAAAGCTCTCAACATCCCTTGGCGTATTCAACGACATTGTGTGTGGAGATGATAGATCACTGGGAGGAGCTTATGCACACTCGATTACCCCAGCAACCTTGTTGCTAGGCTGACGTCACATGGCATTGTTTCGCCGATGGATCATGCAACAAAATTCCACAAATTACGTCATCGGGTATTGTGACGTGATTGTAAACTTTGAGGTGCAAGGCCCCGTTCCACAAGGCGATCGTACTCTAGCGCAACGACAGTCGTTAGTCTAAGTTAAATTATGTGAGTTGTGATAGCCTTAGCACTACGATAATTTTGTGGGACGAACGCCTGAATTCTAAAGGTGGACCATTGTATGATATTAAATTCATACGTTTCCACCTTTGACGTGTTTGAAGTATTATTCTGTTAAACTCAATTGGATTATGCCATGGATCGTGTAGGTGTCAGCCTATTTACACTCAACAGTATAATTTTAAAAACATTATACATGACAAGTAATAAATAAAATACTAAACTCGCTCTCGTGTAAAACCAATTTTATGAAACTCGTGAATAGTTGTGGTATCTGACTCGCTTTCGCTCGTCAGATACAAGAACTATTCACTCGTTTCATAAAATTGGTATTACACGGGAGCTCGTTTAGTATTCTATATTTATTCAACACCTCACACACCATATGATTGCTGCATATCTAATGCCATAACTGTACATGTAACACAATCACAAATTCAATTATATATTATGCCATAAACGTTCAGGTTTATAATCAGATCAGAATTCCCTGACTAACTATAGGAGTTAAGGTGTCGGGAAAAGAACGAAAAAATGATATTTTTCGTTCTTCACATAGACTTTCACTAACAATGTGTGACCAATATGGACTAAATTCTATAAAAATCTGGTCAGTGCAATATTTTGCCCGATCAGAAATATATTGGAAACAAGCTATGACATACTCTTTGAAAAAGAAGGGGATCATGAAATATAAATGTTAATACCATGCATTAGAACAAAGCTAAGCGTTGACGACAAACATCCTATGCAAGAACGTAATGGCTTTAAACCTTATCACCAAAAAACATCTTTGGTTTGCACGTGCCGCACGCAGTTACGCGACACAAGTGCGTGAGGTGTCAATCATGACCTTGACACTTTCAAGGAAGGTCGATAATCTCTGTGGACAATTGTTTCTGTCAGTCTTATTGATTCTGCTTATCATGCAGTTGTGATTTACTTGATTTTATTCATTGTTTGTGCATGAATCAGCGATGCGGCGTCTGCAACGCGCGGAGCGTCTGCGGGCTATTGACATGCTGGAAACTGGCAGAAGTCAGCGTGCAGTGGTCAGAACGTCCAATATGTCACTGTCTGTGATTAGCAGACTAAGGAACAGTTACCAACAAACCCAAACGATCGACACACGATCGAATCCGTTCAGGGTGTCCCAGGTCAACGAGAAGAGTACAGAATAGATTAGTCCAACATCATGCATGCTCTTCGAAATCGAGCTCAAACGGTGGATCACATTGCTGCAAACTTTCAACAGACGACTGGAGAACGAGTTACGGGTCAGACGATAAGAAACAGTCTTCATGCTGCTAGCTTATCTCCTTGCTCGACGACCACGTGTTGTGCCGTCTCTAATAAATCGTCACATTGCAAATAGACGCCAATGGTGTACACAGCGTACACAAACTTGGGTAATCGTTGCTGGTCACGGGTCATGTTTTCAGATGATCACCCACTTCTTTCATAGGCGCGGTCGTGTCTTGCGACGTAGAAATGAACGCCAAGCAAATTACAACTTGAGATCTTAGGGCAGATCTGGCGGTGGGTCGGTTATGGTGTGGGGTGGCAACATAACTGCGCGAACCGCACTCCATATTGTGCAAGGAAGGGTCACTGGACAGTCAGCAATATTCCAGGTATATAACGGCGGTCTGTAAACAATCGAATCTGGTCCACACAATCCAGTGATTGATATCATGAACATCGATCCACGCAGTTGGGATACGATGACATGCATCAATCAAGTCAGCGTGCCTGACCATCCGATCCCGTTATGACAAGCATGGGTTGCTGAAGATCAGTTTTCACCCGGACTTTCACGGGTCACCATTTTGTAAATGCACCACGAACAGGAGATTAGCTGCGTGTTAGTCTATCTAATCGAATACGAAATCATTTTTATTAAAACAGTCAAAATTAATCCGATTTTGAACCGGGAAGCTGGATTTCAGAACTAACAAATCAGTATTAATGAGGTAATTGAAGACATTCACTCACATAACGAAAATGGCTATACCGCCCACACCTCCCTCGCTATACCGCCCACACATTTACGGAATGGCTCTTTACTTCCATGTGAGATATTCCCAGTGGTGCTTTGTAATTCATGAACATATTTCTTTTAAACGTATTTATATTTAAACCAATCAATTTCTGCTTATTCATTCAAAATGACACTGGCAAATATACAAATGTTATTTAAGATATATCTGCAATCTGTAAATGTGCTGTAATCAGCGATTGGCCTCTTGTCGATCAGTCCGTATGACATATATACTACCAGTAGCTTCGACATCCGCTTTTACTGTCCGGCATCCGCTTATTACTGATATGTAGCTTCAATAAGAGCAGGGGGCACGGGTGGCCCAGTCGTCTAAGGCGCCGCGATTCGCTGTGCAGAGTTGGGTCCCTTGGACACGCCAGAATTGTGGGTTCGAATCCCGGTTCGCCCCGATTATGTTTCTAGGTTTGTCAGCACCATACCCGTGCTCGTGGGTTTCACCGAAGTGGTAAACGTCTGAGACCTGCATCACTTCGGGCTTCCCTCCCACATTAAGCTTACACGCGGTGATATAACTGGAATACTGTTAAATCCAACTCACTCACTCACTCAATAAGAGCATCATACCAGTTTATTAAATGTGAAACGTCAACGCCATAAAATAGTCTCGATAATCCACCTCAACAGATAATTATGGGCATAAATGGCAAAATAGCTGTGAAATATTATGAATGGAACGCTGAAAATCAGTTATGACACCGAGTGTTCACAAAAAGGGTAAGCATGTCCTGCCATACGACGGCGGAGTGCCAATTCTCACGCTTCGTCAGAGTGCCAATTTACAGACTACCTTGCACGTTTGTAAACCCGTATGTCTAACGGGCGACTAACTGAGTTGGGTGGTCAGGATCGCTGACGTGGTTGATGGATGTCATCGTATCCAATTTCGTAGATCGAGATCCATATTAATCACTGGATTGTCTGGTCCAGACTCGAATATTTACAGACCGCTGTCATACAGCTGGAATATTGCTGAGTGCGGCGTTAAACAACCAGCAAACTGGGAACAACGCACATTGAGC